TTCTTATTAAAGACTCGTTAAGCTGACAGGTCTTTGAAAATCCGGGTCCTTATCGGTAAGCTAAATATTGAAACATATATGTGACTTGAAATTAGGTTAAGTGTCACTATATATACGACGATGTCGTAAACAGACAAGTAGTTAAGCTGATGGAAGGTCACATCAAAGATTCAAATTACATATAATGGTTTCAAAATGAGATGATGAAAGATAATCCAGGTTTGTCATCAAATTAGTTTTACAAGCCTATACCTTTAAAGTAATTTTCGAACCGGAACTGCTTTTGACTGCAATCGAACGCACCTTGTTTTCCTGGCTTATCAAATCACTTTTGCTGTTGAAATGATTTTTGTTCTAGTTTGAAACATGCCTGTATTGATTTGACGTAATATGTTCGGCCATTCATCATTATAACGTCGTATACATTGGTGAGCGGTAGTAATGTGTAAACGTAATGTCCGTAGATACCTGTGACACTCGCATTACAAGGCTGGGCATGAACTACACTATACAGTATCATTTACCATCTTGTTTACCGCCAACAAATGTCAGTGCTTCTATTTCTTGATTCTTAAGAATTCTTTGTGCATTCCTCCAAGTTCTTGCCAAACCTCTTTATAACGCCAAATATTCTCTAGAATAATGAAGGCAGTTTTGGAAAATGGTGGCAATATAACGAGTTTCTACTGTCCTTAATACACTTTGTAGAGTTTGCATACCAGATTCACCGACAAAGATATAGTTCTTGATTCCGAATGCTGTGATTAGATATAGCAAATGACATATTACCGACGCCCGCTTTCAGAACGATTGTCCTTGTGTTCCCTAATCTAGTTTTCTTAATCTGTGACTTGGACTGTGAGGTCCTGGTGACAAATGGCTGAAGTTTCCCGTTGTAACGAATATAGTCAGGCCGAAAATGAATAGACCTAACCACAGTGGCCCGCTCAAGTTAATGCTGGACACGAAGAGAGGCGAGATCTCACTATCGGACATTCGATCGCCACTAGGGGCCATTTCTAGCACTAAAATAAAATGAAAGTGAAAAAGAAAAGGGGTGTCCTAAGGCCCAGAGTGATACCACGGACAACAATTAGATACTTCTGCTAGGGGCCGCCATCAACATCGTGATTCATGCGAAGTAATTTTGATATCTGGTCCTGAATCACTGTAACGGCTAAAGGGAGTCTAAAATAAACCATTAATCACACTGGTATACAATATTTACAAATCAAGTTTTTCCATGTGAAATGCTACAGATATAGTTTGAACTCTATTTGACATTATGCTGTCCTTTTTTTGAATGTTTTTGGTAGTGTCTGTTGGGGTTTAAAATGCATAGTTTATATGATTACAAATTGAAATTTACTCGTAAAACATATCACAAACATATTTAGCTATAATGGTTTTTGCACATTCTGTCAAGTCACAGTTGTTAATAATCTCTATCTATGATTAAAACTGAAACATGATCGTCGAATACGTGACTTTTATACTCTATACACATGTATCTCCACCCATTACTTGAATTGAAATTTACTTTTCGAAAATGTGAATTTATTATATTCAATTGTTCATACTCTGTATCCATGCCAAAAATTCAAGTGAAAGTTGCCTCTTTTTTTTTTAAACATTTTGTCATTTATATTTCGACAAAATATAAATATGAATTCAATTTGTTGGAAGTATTGAATTATTTTACGTCTCCTACAGATGTAGTAAACCCCCAGGAGCGTCGTGGATTGCAATTTCTCCTATTCACCTTTATGTGTAAGTTTGTAGCTACAATACATTATTGCATAAACATTACTGGAATTTTAGAGAAAAATACTCACCTAAAGGGTAAACTGAATAAGTCTGAACAATTTGTTTGGAGAATGATCTACATTTGAGTGAATTATGTGGATGTTACCGAACAGGTCTACAATATACATGTGTATACATCATATACAGATCAATATCGTTCTGACTCATAGCTACTAGCTTAGATAATACAGTTTCCATGGCAACAAAACTTCATTAAGTAGGAAATTCGTGTTTAGTTTAAATGTTAAAAGCAGTTATTTGTCTCGCTGTCGATAAACATGAATCATAGGGGCATTGCTATTGCTAAGACCAATCTATTCAACATCTACATGTCATATACAAAGTGTCTAAATTGTTCGAGCCGATTTCGCCTACGGTAACACATAGATAATGCACGGCAATTTCCGATGTCCATGTCTATATGAATACAAAACGTTTGCATATATTTTTACCATGATTCCTGAAAAAATGCCGTTCAAAACATGTATTTTAATTATTGATTTAGAGTTAATTGATCGACTTCCTAGAACCTCTTTTCTTTACCTGGAACCTCTTATCTTTACCTGGAACCTCTTATCTTTACCTGGAACCTTTTATCTTACCTGGAACCTCTTATCTTTACCAGGAACCTCTTATCTTTACCTGGAACCTCTTATCTTTATCTGGAACCTCTTATTTTCACCTGGAACCTCTTATCTTTACCAGGAACCTCTTATCTTTACCTGGAACCTCTTATCTTTACCTGGAACCTCTTATCGTTACCTGGAACCTCTTATCTTTACCTGGAACCTCTTATCTTTACCCTTGTTTGCTCCCTACGATGGACTTAGGTATGCAATGTGGAAGAAATGTGGATCAAAAATGAAACCGATCCCATTTCGATCATAGCCTTTTATAAAAGGATTGGCAACAGAAATGTAGAATGTTCTTGATTAAGACGACGCTTTTTTTTTTAAGATGAACATATTAAACTGTGCGATGTAGGGATGGCACATTTATTTCAACTATGATAGCACATTAAAGCAACATCGAAATAAGCATCCATTAGTTCATTTCCTTTAATCAAATTAATTCTAACAAAATGATGATGATGATTTGAGATACAAACATGAAAACAGGCATATTTTCTTTCTCTTTTTATTTGGAAAAGAAGAATCTACACTGTAAATGTATTGAATATAATTGGGAAGCTGCCTAACCAAACAATATGAATCGTTTTATATAAATGTTCTTTCAAAGAAACTTTCCCGAATCATAATTTAATTAAATATTCATCTGACATCAATTGACCGTTACGTTCCTATACGATCGTCCCTTTGTAGGAAGTTAGTTGTTACTTAACAATACAGTATATGTTTATATAATTTATGTACGTTTTACCATCACATGCTATATGTTGTTTACATTCAAATAACTTTGTCTGAATTCCGATGTTGTGAGTTAGAACTATAGGACATTCTCGAAATTAGAGTGGTTCCGCTCTCTTACGTTCCTTTCACCCCTGTATTATGTCATGAGGAACTCGAAGGCTCTGTACCCTTTCTGTGATTCACCTTCCCACCTTAGTGATACAAGAAGACTAGTTTGATCCTTTGATGAACAACACACGAATCGTGCGACAACGCAACTCTTAACTTGATCGGCATTGATGGTGGTGCTGCTTCTTTGTAATCTTTAATGGACGGGCATCAAACTTAGTTAGTTTTACCTGAAACCAATCAAGTAGCAAACTGAGTGTCTTAGCTATTCAAGGGGTGCAGTGAGCGTAACCCCAATGGGGCTAGGAAGATTAAATTATGTTCCTGACCTGGAATCATGATCCCAATATAGATAATGAAACGGTCCCATGCAGTCCATTCAATATGTACAGAGTGATAGTTATCGGTCGTACTATAACACGATTAAAGAGGTTATAGATTATTTCTCGACTCCAGATTAATCAGTAATATACACTGATCCGATGAAGGGTATGTCAGCGTGTTTAATACCCCCGTTACAAAGCAGCATTGAATCATTGGCAATCTCATCTCAATATCATCAGTTCAGGTTGTCAAGCTAACGGATTTATTTGATGTTGTCATATAGCTGATTTCTGACAAAATGGTCTGATAGTATCACGTTTATTTATCACGTAACCTTGGATACAGGAACGATCATCAAGACAATAGATTTCCCGACAATCTCCAAGGGACACCGGAACTAGTTCAACACGTCCTTGAGCATACGTTTTTTTAGTTATACCATTTATTCGCCGTTACAAATACCGGTACTGGCGTCAATGCTATAAGTTATAACGTCTAAATGAAACGAACATGCATGTTAACCTTTTAACTGACTAGCATTTACACTTCTTGTAAATATAAAATTATATATAAATATAAACTTTTTTTTATTTTTCAACAATTATGAACTTATATAAATCACTCTTGTTGGCCCGGTTGTTAGCGCGGGGGTCTTAATGTGGAAGGAAACCGAAGGCAAGCGACCACGTACCTTTTAACGGCCGACTTGGTGAAATGCAATCACAGGGCAACGTTTTCATATTCATTAATGATAAGCATCAAGTGCAATAAGACCTGCATTACAATATATTTAACGTAGCTGGAATTTATTCTGGCAAGATTCACAAGGAATACATGTACTAGTTTACGTGCCTGTTATCCAAAACCTTTACAAAGTTTGTAACATTGCATAAGGGTTTATTGGCCCCTATTCCTTACATTAGGTATGGATATTCATTATTTTCACCTGTAACACACGTAACCCTTTAACCACTGTAGACCATAATGGACTCATCCAGATCATTGCAAGGTAGACACTTATAAAATTACACAGGGGTGAAAGTGCTAATGCGTCCAAATGGACGAAATAGGCTTATTGTGAAGAAAATCCTCACTTTGTCTTTTCATCAAAATGCTATCCTTCGTATTTCGAGAGATAATTATGTTACATGGTCTAATGGTTCGAATTTACAATTTGGTCTAGTTGTCTTGTGATTAACATTATCTTACATTAGAATGCATTTTGCAAATCCTTTAAATGTTAATCCACTGCTTATAACAAATAAATCCAATTGATAAAATTTGTATATTTATTTTGCCACGTTATGCAATTATGTTCTGTATAATGATATCTGGATTTGTATGATACTCGATGAAAACTCACATTACTTCTATTTCTATTCTATCTTACAGGTCGTTATATTCATCTGTATGAGCCCTTGTGATGTCACCGTGTTTTATTGACCTACTACGTGTACACACAGTCTGACCGCGATCGGCATTTGAGGTGAGTGACACTTTACAACTAGAGAATGTAACGTACGCCAGCATAACATACCTCAAGGGGAGGTAACTATGTTATGCTGGCTAAGATTAATCTGTGATTATGTAAGGACTTTAAGGTTAACATTAAAATGAATGTAGTTCTGAATTACCTTTTAGACAGACATACAATACAACTGGAGCCCGGGTATCCTAATGTCAAAGACACATCTGTTTCGCATTGCCGCACGTTTTTCGAGAAGTGTTGTTTCCGTAATACCTTTACAATTACGTCATTGTGTCTTGCTTAAAGGGGGAAATAGAACAAAAATCATCGATGTCAACAGGTGCACAAATAGTTAATAAACGATGTCATAAACGTTTATACCAACAGAAACGTGGAACCTTGGTCGCTCAATTGCTAGAGCGTCTGTCTAGAGTTTGGAGGGTCTCGATTTCGAATCCCGGTCTAACAGGTGCATTTCTCTTTCTACTGTTACACTTATAACATATAATCTGTTTAACATTCATGTTTTGCAAAAAAGTATTATTGTAGATTTTTACTCCATTGGACACAATTTCGACATAGGGTTGTATATGCACTGATGCAAAAATGAAACGCTATTAGGCATGTGTAAAACAGTTTATAAAGTAACCTTTAGGACTTTGATGTACGAATCCCGGACTCATGTTTTTTCCCATGGGACTCGCAATCCTTTTGTAAACCCACTCTATCTGTTAGTAGTTGGATTCATCAAACTCTTCAAAAAGATGTTCTGGACTCGCCCGATTCTTTTTATAAAAAAACGCTATTATAAAAGAATTGTCACTACATGTATTAAGCTCACTGAAACAGCATCGAAAGGCTTTGTAGTGTGTAGGTTTGCCCCAAACCACTAAGCAAAGAAGTATTAAACAAATACTTATTCTCGTTTTCGCAAGGAAAAGGTTAAATGTATTTATAAGAAGAGCATTTTTACTACAAAATATTAAAAAGACGTAAAGACATGAAGGTACCGTATCTTGTGGAAGCTTTGATTTACCGTTTCTGACTAAAATGAATGAAAAGCGGAATATTTGTTAAAAATATGTTTCGCATAAAAAGTGTGAAAATGATGGCATCGGTACCATATCATGTGACACATTCCTTAACAATTACTTAATAAATCACTAAGTACGAATTTAAAATCAACCAGCACTCCACAGATATTTTTATCTTTTACATTCGTGTAAAAGGGGGGGGGGGGGGGGGGGGGGGGTTACGTACCTCCCCTCATATTTCAACAGTCGTTTGAACCAATTTGGATTTCCACCTGTTTGGTCCCCGGCATCATCAAATGTTCAGAGAAGGACGAATCAGCATTTTCAGCAGTGAAATCCATTTTTGGAATACTGTATCAATTACCTATTGTATAGGTGTAATCACAAGATTCCCTTACGATGGTCTCTTAAAAAGAATAATAGGTATTTTATTATAGCAAATGAAACATTAAAAGCTTTGCATCGTAATGTTGTAAACCAAATGGTTAAAATGGTGTAATATGGACCGTGTCGGTCGAAACAATGTTTTACAGTTTTTCAAATGTATGTTTATTTTTGAATAATTGTTGGGAGTTCTGCGACCTGAGTGTTTACTTTTAAGCATTATAAAGATGACATCGGTATCTTGTCCGATGAAAAAACACACCACTTCTAGTGCTCAACAGTTGAATTACACCTAGATCTATATAAATTACTAAGTGAACATTAATATTGTAAGATGAAAGTTCTGGGATTGCAATTTAATTGTTTAAAATTCAGCATTTTAAAGCTGGCATCATCAGTACCATGCCAAGCAAAAACGGAAATCCTTCTGTCTCTTAAATAGATTATACGTTTATCAACATTGATCGTTGTTAATGTTAATTGGAAAGCCAGGGTCTGCAACTTAAGTGTTAATAATTTAGATATAATAATAGCACTGATACAATGATATATGATAAATAAAGAAAACGCACTCTGTTGCTTCAACGCATAATACCTATCAATATTGCCAAGTGAAAATTGATTTGGTAATTGAAACTTAAGTGTTATTAACTTAAGTGTTAATAATTCAAAGATTTAATAATAGCACTGATACCATGATATTTGATAAAAAAAATCTTAAGTGTTTATAATTCAAAGTTATAATGATAGCATCGGTGCATCGGTTTCATGTCAGGAGAAAAAGAACTATATATTTTTCAAATGGATTAAACCAAACATTACTAAGTGAAAAGTAATAGAGCGTAATGGTGTTGAAGACTGCAATTTAAGTGTTAGACCCTTTTCGTGCTCAAGTAAATTCTACCTATATCAAAATTGCTAAGTAAGCATTCGTTTTGTGACTGCAATTTAAGTGTTATACTTATTTAGTGATCAACTGAAATACATCTATATTAATGTTGATAAAAAAAACCATCGATATTGTAAAAACGAAAGTTGCAGAGTGCAAATCAAGCGGTAGATTCTTCTACTGCACAAATGAATTTTATCTATGTCAGCATTGCTAGGTAAGCCTTGATGTTGTAAAATTGCTGTCGGAGACTGTAATTTAAGTGTAAGACAGTTTTTGTATTCAAATATATTATACATACATGTAAATTAAGATCGCTAAGCCAGCATTAATTTTGTAAAATTGCTGTTGGAATCTGTAATTTAAGTGTTATTTTAGCGATCCATTGAAATGTACCTACATCAATGAAGTGTAAAACGAAAGATGGACACTGCAAATTAAGTCGGTTTATTTATATTTGTTTTGAAAAGTACGCTTTAAATTGATGAATGAAAGCGGCAGACTACAATTTTCGAGTTTCAGAACCTTTTAGTGCACAAATGAATTATACCTACAATATATATTAATATTCCTAAGTGAAAACTAAAGGTCTTTGCAACGTAAGCGTTTACAAAAAAAACCATTACATATACAGGGCCGCAAGGTTATCATGTCAGAGGAAAGCTTTTACTAATCTGTCATCACGCCGTCAAATATGAAAGAATTTGAGGGATATACTAGTGTATCTGTGATTACTTGGCTGTACCAGCCCAACACGGTTTGGAGCCTAGGTCACGGAAGTCCATTGTGCATCACTCCCGAGCCGCCTACGGTTTCAGGACAGGATGTTATTATGCAAAATAGATGTCTTCCGTGAAATTGTTCTTATCACGAACTCAAAACCTTAAGTACTAGAAAATATAGTAGTCGGAGGTTTTATCTGATATAATTGTCAAAATTCGTTCTAGAAAAAGACGTTGAAAAGTAAATTGCTTTGCATAAAACTGTCGTCAGTACCGTACTGTGTCTCTATGGAAACCGTTTTCCCTAGTATATGTGGAGCGTTTGAATTTTATCTATTTACTTGAACATGCAATACAACCGAAATGCTCACGGAAAGTTACTTGTATAAACTCATTACGTTAACGTAAAACTGCAATTTTCTTTCTAGTACACTGTATACTTTCTGTTTCTCTGTAGTTTTTTTTGTGTGTCAAAGAGCTATGGCGGGTTGCTATGCCTATTTCCCCAAATCTATGACCGGCTAATGCGCGCGTCCAACCGTGCACTATTATGACGCGTACTCAGGTATTTCTATACAGGTAACTCTATCGGAATCCCGTATCTAAGAATAGATTATTGTAAACAAGATTCAAGATTCAAGATTTGTATTGACACTCAGACACATAATATGTGTTGCATGAGGAAATAAAGTTGCAGATTTGGAAAATGAAGTACAATATACATATTTGTATACACATGTATAACTGAAAGAATGGACAGTAAACAGACGAATTTAAGGTCATGGCTATAATAATAAATGCGTTTCACGACAAAGACTCAACAAAATGCTTATTTCGCGTTATGCTGTATAAAACATAAGATCGTACAATCATTACCAAGTTTGAAAGGATTTAATTTTCATTACTATTGCCTACGTCATGCCGCTACATGTTTTCTTAAAACGCACGCATCTTGATTTTGATCTTCCTGTACCTTGAAATGGTAAAATTACATATAATTTTCGAATAGCATGTCTTACACGTGTATTGCGCTCCTTACTTTGTGCTGCAAACTTCCTGCATTTTAAAACAAATGAGACTGTCCTCGCATGTTCGGTAAAATAAAAAAATAGAGGGTAAAACAATTCATAAAACAAAGCGTAGCTGTACTGTACAAGCGTACAGGAATTTGTTGACATGATCCCATAGAAGATTAATCAATAGGTATGTTAATAAAATGTTCCATTGTTTTGAAAACTATTTTTCACTTTACTAAGGAAACTGATCACTTGCCTAAATATTAAAAAAGTAAGTTTTTTTGTATCTGAATGCGAACTCGAACCTACACCGTTCACATTTCTGGTCACAAGCTAACTGCGTTACACATTAGGCTACACCGGACATAGACGAATTTGGAAATACAAACTCCTTTAACCCAAGAAACATCTGTCGCAGTTTTGAAAACTTGATCAACCCCGTTTTTCATTATTTTGAGCACTTTCCCAAAGGAGGACCACTTTTCCGTCTTACGATTTGTTTTTGCATATTACATCACGGAATCAAAAAGGTTATTGAAAAGTTGGTCCTCGGATGGGAAAGTATTAAAAGTATTTTTTTAAGTCTGGGAAACCCCGTCACTTTCATAGATATATTGAATATGGCTATATTTGCAGTATTATATTAACAATACCGAATATCTCAACAGTTCAAAAATTCATATCCAATTGGTTTTATATGTATTCCATGCATTTTCGCTACTAAAAACTATTTACTCATCAATACTTTTTTCCGTTTTCAAAAATGCCGGCTTAGGGAAATACGGGCAGTTTTCCGCCATACCTCTTTGCTGATATGCCCACCTTCGAGCTTCAGTATTTTAGAATTTATCACGTCACAGACTAAGCTTAGTGTTTTTGCTATTAATCATTGAGCTCATAGCTCAGCTTTGTTGAGCTTAAAATCTTGAATTTTGGAAAGAAAATATATTTATAATCACCAGATTTGATATAA